CATGTTAGCTCCCTCCCTGCCGCCACACATTTGTGAGGGAGTACATTTCAGGGTAACCAAAGAGTTGATGAGGGAAAGTTCTTTACAGAATTCCAGCTGATTAATATACAAGAAATAAACAAATTTCAATACAACAATTTTGTGACTCCTTATGGAAAAAATGACTAGGAAGCAATCATCAATAGATAACAAAACAGTGATTCTCAGTCCTGCCTACACTTCAGAATCACTTGGGAACTTTTCAAAATATATCTCTGCCTAGGCTCTACACCCAGAAATTAAGATTCAGTCCGTCAGGGGTGAAGCCCCCTGATAGTTTTTTTTTTTTTTTTTTTTTAAGCTCCTCAGGTGATCCTAATATGCATCCAGATTTAAGAATCAATGCTCTAAAACTATTAGGCAGATGGTTAATAGGGGATTTTCTAATAAGTGAATCAAGAAAGTAACACTGAATTCACTGATCAATCTTATGGTTACTAAAATTGGTGCTATAGCGGTGGATCATGACTATACTCCCAGCACTGTAGGTGGCCAAGGTGGGTGGATCTCTTGAGCCCAGGAGTTCAAGACCAGCCTGGGCAACATGGCAAAACCCTGTCTCTACAAAAATATAAAAATTAGCCAGGCATGGTGGTGCGTGCCTATAGTCCCAGCTACTCAGGAGGCTGAGGTGGGAGAAAGATTTGAGGCCAGGAGGTTGATGCTGCAGTGAGCCATGATCATGTCACTGAACTCCAGCCTGGGCAACAGAGCAAGATTCTGTCTCAAAAAGGGAAAGGGGCAGATAAACATGTTCTAAAATTGACTGAGGTTATGGTGGCATAATTCTGTGAATATACTAAAAAGCATTAAATTGTACACTTTAAATAGATGAATTGTATTTCACTAAGGCTGTTTTTTTAAAAATCAAGATAAATTTCTATCTCTATGCAAACATACACACAGAAGACTATAGTGTTTTATTTAAATCTTTTGATTTTATATTTCTCTTTTCCTTTGCACTGACAATCTTGGTTCCTAATAACTTTAATATGACTATTTGTTTTATCTGTACCTACATCTATATCTACACCTATCTAGCTATATAAATAAAAATAGTATCTAAATAGCAGTATCTATGACACCAAATTCAGGAGAAACAGTGTAAGATTTTTTTGGTGTTTCTTTTTCTTAAGCTGTTTCCCACTTGGGAAATACAGTGAAATTACTGTGTTATAAACACATTTTGAGAATTCTTGGGTGTTTAAGTCACTATTTTGATACACAGGTTTCATTTTAGTTATTTTTTAAAGATCACCCTTTTCCCCCCATTTTTTCCCTGATTTTAAATTTTGTTTTATAATTGTGTAATGTAGTTACAGGTCAAAACAAAGTTCTTTTCCGAGAAATCTAGCTTCTACCCCTCCCTCTTCCAAGTTGTTTCTCTTTTATTGATAACCATTTATTTTATGGTTTATTCCTCCATTTTAAAATAAGTTATAAGCAAATACATAAATGATAGCTTTGCATTATATACAGTTGATTCTGCCTTGTTTTTAACTTAATGTTGTATCCTGGAGATCACTGTATACAGAGTTTTTTGTTCTTTATCTGCATAGTACTCCATTACATGGGCTTCAACATCCAATATATGGATGTGCTATAATTTCCTGACCTAGTCACTACAAATAGACATTTAGGTCATCTTCTGTATTTTGAAATTAGTAAAAACAGTGCTGTTATCTTTTCATATTTTTTGCCAGTATATCTTTACGATTCTTCTTTTTTTTTTTTTTTGCTTGAGATAGGGTCTTTCTCTGTCACCCAGACTGGAGTGCAGTGGTGTGATCACAGCTCACTGCAGCCTCAAACTCCTGGGCTCAAGCAATCCTCCTGCCTCAGCCTCCCAAATGGCTGGGACTACAGGCATGCCCCACCACACTTTTTTGTATTTTTTGTAGAAATGGGGTCTCACTATGTTGCCTAGGCTGGTCTCAAACTCCTGGCCTCAAGTGGTTCTTCCACCTCAGCCCTCCCAAAGGGTTGGGATTTACAGGTGTGACCCACTGGTCCTAAGATAATTTTCTAGAAGTAGGAAGGTCAAGTCAAAGGGTAAACTCATAGGTAATTTTCCTTGATATTGCCGAATTCCTTTCCATTAAGTTGTTTCATTTTGCATTTCTACAAGTAATGTATGAGAGTGTCTGTTTCTCTACAGCCCAATCAATAGAAAATGTTGCCAAACTTTTGGATTTTTGTCAATATGATAAGAATAGTATCTCAATGTAGTTTTAATTTGAATTTCTCTTACTATCAATTAGATTGAGCATATTTTCATATGTTCAAGGACCATTTGCATTTTTTTCTCCTATCTTTAGCCCAATAAAGATAGAGTTGTTGGTCTTTTCTCTTTTAAGAGCTCTTTATTAGAGATAATAAAAGTTGCAATTTTTTTTCCCAATTTGTCTTTTACTTTGCTCAGCTTTTTCTCCCTCCAAAGTTTTTCTTTTAATTTATGTAATCATATTTATCGATCTTTTCCTTTATTGTTTTTAGATTTTGAGTCACAGTTAGGAAATACTTTTCCCATTTCCAGGATATGAAGGGACCACTCATGTTTTCTTCTACTATTTATATGGATTCATGTTTTCTTCTATTATTTATATGGATTCACTTCTTTGACTCATTTGAAATTTATCTTGATATATGAAGAATGGAATAATTTTTTACTTTTTTAAAATTTCATTTTAATTTTTGAGATAGGATCTTACTGTGTCACCCAGGTTGGGGTCCAGAGGTGCAATCATAGCTCACTGTAACCTCAAACTCCTGGGCCCAAGCAGTCCTCTCACATCAGCCTCCTGAGTAGCTAGGAATGTGGGTGTATGCCACCACGCTCTGATATTCTTTGAATTTTTTGTAGAGATGGGGTTTTGCTATGTTGCCCAGGCTGGTCTTGAACCCCTGGCCTCAACTGATCCTTCCGCCTTGGCCTCCCAAAACTGAAATTATAGGTGTGAACCACCATGTCCAGTCTTACTTTTCTCTTATACTAATATCTGAGTAAGGCTTTCTTTGCTGGTTTTACAGTCTATGCACTATGTATTTATTTGTCCATTCAGTCAAGAAAAAATTTTATGTGTCATACTAAGGGTAGGAATTTTGCATTTCATTTTGGAAAACAAAAAGTTACATTTTTACAGAACAAAAACCATACTGTGACCTTCTGTACTATTAAGTATTTTGAAAGGCTTTCTGCACTTTTGCAACTATTGGCATAAACTGCATCCTCTTTCTAGTTGTGCCAGGTAACATAAAATTAAGCCAAAGATAACCAACTCCTAGATTAGATAAAGCCATTTGTTAATTAAAATTAATGTTAAAAAGCATAAATTAAGACTAAATAGGAGTCATAGAACAGGGTAAATGCTCAATATCTTTTAAATTAAAATCCAGTGTGATTCTGTGTCTAATTCTTGTCGCCTAGGAAAAATAAGAATCCCTAAGTCTCTGAGGTTCAACTCTGAAAGTACATTAGGAATATCACCTATTGATATTAATGTCATCAATTTTTTACTTAATTCTTTCTCATGCTGACATTTTGTGATAAATATATACTGGTATTTTCATGAAAAAAACTAACTGGCTAAGTCACTAGCACAATTAGAACTTAGCACCAGGTAGAAACTAATACCTAAAGGAAAATGTACAATATTGAAAATAATTTAGGTTAGACATTATTTTAATTCTCATCTGCTGTGTGCCAAGTTCTAAAGAAATTTTCAAAAAGAATAAAAATTCCTAGATGAGAAAAATAGAGCAGATTGTAAATGTCAGGTCTCCAGGACAATAATGTCTCATTCTTTCACTTTAATGACTCAAGAATATAAGGATTCATTATTCAATAAATGGCTTCTGCTCTTATCTATAATAAAGAGAGCGAGGAAAGGAATAGATGACAACATCAATGGATAACCTATAATCTCATTTTGGATACTGGATCTCACCTTCACCTTAAGCAAACCTATTAATTTCAACCATATCACATGAACAAAAACATCCGAATTTCGGCATTTTAAATCTCCCTCTCTTTCAGGTAGTGAAGTTCATGAGCTGGGAAATAATCAGAAAGTAGCAGGATGAGAGATGGCAAAAGTCTTAGATGACATATTGGCTATCAAAAAACTTCATTTTAGACATGAAGTTACAGCTGAGAATTTGTGACCTAAACAAAGTTAGTTGGGTGTAAGTCTTCCAACTCTGAGTCCAGTGCTCTGTCCAATATACCAATTCTACTAGTCAGGTCAGATAAGAAAAATGTACAGCTGGAACATTATTACCTAACTGCATATAAACAAAATTCCACTGAAAAAAAATTCTGTAAACATCACTTACAAGTAAATGACTAAAAAGATAATTCTACTATAGGATCTATGCTAAGTATGCCAAACATTTCAGAATCATAATTAATTTATACCATTTCAGATGGGAAAATTGAAGCTACCATCAAATTTAGGTTAAAAAAAAAATCACTGAGTACCTACTATGGATCAGGTACTGTAGAATGAGAGGATAAATTACTAAAACAAAGTCAAAAATAAGTATTTTTAACCTTTGGGACAAAGCTTATTTAGACCATACTCCTTATTAAAGAAAGTTAAATCTCAGTAGTCTCCTATACAATTATTCAATATTTTTGATGAAAAGAAGACTTCAGAGAGTTTTCCAAAATATAATACAAAGATGTGAATTCAAAAAATATTTATTCCAACATTTCTTAAATTACTGGGGACACTATTATAAGTAAAATAAATTGACAGATGCTAACTCCAGCTTTATGAATTCTCAATGCTAAGATCACCTTATTTCAATAATACAGCATTTATAATATTCTAATGCACTTTTAGAGATAGAACCAAGATACCTAATTACTTGTTTGAAGTGAAAACTGTCCCAATCTATCCAGAGTTGATGTCTTCCCTAAGTTTGCGAGATTTCTCATAGAAAAAGGAGACACATACCTTTCCATAACAGCCAGGCACTCCTTTCTCCAAGTAAATCGACTCCCTCGTCGTAGTCGGAAAGTACCAGATGTGGCAGAGACTGGGGGAGGTGTTTGTCTCCATTCAGGGTCCTCTATTGGAATGGGGGCTGGTCTCATACTTAGTGTAGCGCCTGAAATAAATAAGACAGTTTTAGCAAATATCTTGCAGTTAATTTAAACCAATATGACATCTACCTCCTATGGGACTAGGGAAGTATGGTCTTTGGCTTAGTGACAACTTAATCAATGTATCTTTCTCTGAAAAATTTCTTTTGAAATTCCTGCTTGATAGTTATACTTTTTGAACAATATACCTCAGAAGTTCAGAATCTTTCATTACCATTCAAATAAGTTAAGAGGTTAGGAATTTATGCATGTAGGAGATAAACTTAAAATAATCCTAATTCTTGTAAACTCTTTTTTTTAAAGAGTGAAATACAGCATTAAAGAAAATAAGATGATATTTGATGTGCTTTTTGTCTACTAACTAAATCAGGTCTCTATAGGTCTAGATGCTATACTAGATTCTGTTATCTCTTGAACATAATAAAATTTCAATGAAAAATATCTATAATTGAGACATTTTACTAATTCAGATTACTCTTTTCTCAAATAGCTTGAACTGCCAATGACGCATTCATTATTCATTTACCATTTATCAAATCCTTTTCAAGTGGCTTGCTCCAGGCTAGAAGCTAAGAATACAACCAGGAAAGCAACATTGTCTCTGACCTCCATGAACTTATTTCATAGACTTCCAGTGTAACTTGGTATATGCTTTCCTGGAGTTCAGTCCCTGGCTACCCCACTCTTCTTTCACTCCTTACACTGTTAAATTCATCTTCCCAAAACATAACTATGATCATATCGGTCTTCTAATCAAAAACCTTCAACAAGTTCTCTCTGCCTGTAGTTTAATTCAAACTCTTAATACAGGTCTAGAAAGACACATTAGAACCTGTAGTTTATGCAAATATTAATGCATATATTAATTTTATGTTAATGAATATTAATAAATATTTCTTTCTTTCTAACAGAATTAATACTCTCTTTATTGTACCTTGCAAATAATACTATGGATAGCATTTCTACTTCAAGACTTACAGACCTATTGTAGATCCCTTTCTTAATAGCTACATCTTTAGACGTATTCTCTTACACAGATGTCCAAAATATTAATCAATACTGATTTTGCTTTTCAAACCTACTGTCCTGCAGTCTTTCCCATCTCAGTAAATAGATACCCACTCTTCAAACTGCTCAGCTCAAAATTCTCAAATTAATCTTTCACTTCTCTAATTCTCCCACATACCACATAACTAATTCATAGGCAAGTTCATTTTATCAAAATATTTCCAGTATCAGATCAATTTTTATTTCTTGCACTGCTACTACTTTTAGAACACGTCAGCATCATCTCTCACAATCATGGTTTCCTGGGACAAGTTTCAAAGACGGCTCTTCACAGTAAGTCATACCTCTGGTTAATCATGCCCTTGAATCTGGGTCAGTCCTATGACAGGTTGTTGAGCAAGAAAACCTAAACAATTCAAGGCTACGTTATAAGATGCTTTGAAATTTCTGCCTAGGTCTCCTAAAATGCTGGCTCTGGGGGAAACCAGAGTGGCCATATAAGAAGTCTGACTAACCTGAGACTATGATGTTGTAAGGAAGTCCAGGATAGCCACGTGGAGAGGCCACATGGAGTGAAAGATGCTCTGACAGTCCCCAGGGGCTTGTGCCAACTCCACCCAGGTGCCAGCATTTGAGAGAAAAAGCCATCTTGGACACTGCAGCCACAGCAAACGCCACATGGAGAAGTGGAGAAACCAGGTGACAGACAGAAACAAGGCCTCAGACATTCAGTCCCGGCACATCAAAGTAGACGTCAACCTCCAACGTCCCTAAGGATCCCTGCCTCCTGGTCTGCACACCTCTGTGTAGTCCCTTCCCACACTGCACCATGATTAGGCTGTGTGACCAACAGCATGTGGCAGTGATGGTATGTCACTTCCAGGATCAGAATACAGAAGACACTGTGGCATCTGTCTTGGATGCTTTCTCTCTTATTCACTCAAGGGAAAACTACCTGCCATGTGTGAGGACGCTCAGGCAGCGGACGGTGAGGCCCATGTTGTGAGGAACTGATGTCTCTGACCAACAAGCAGTGAGGACCTAGGACCTGTCCACGTCCATGAGTGAACTTCCAAGTGGACCATCCAGTCTCAATGACTGCAGCCCAGGCTGACAGCTGGACGGCAACCTCTACAGAACTCTGAGCCAGAAACAACCAGTTAAGCCACTCCTGGATTCCTGATCTACGAAAACTATGAGATAATAAATGCTGATTGTGTTATGCTACTAAATTGTGGGTAATTTATTGTATAAGAATAGATAACTAATAAAAATTATCACAATCATCCCCAGTTGTTTACTTCCCTTTATCCCCCAATACACTATTATTAATTATTCAAATGTATAAATTTGGCAGCAAAAAATTTCCCTTTAATATAGAGGCTTCACTACTTACAAGAATGAGCATCTTTTCCTGTTTATTGACCATTTATATCTTTTCTTGTGAAGTCCTATCTGTTGTTCCTTTTATAGGGGGTTATTCATTTATTTTTTATAGTGTGCTTTGTGATCTTAATTGTAATATAGTCAAATTTGTCAGTCTTTTGTATTATGGCCAATGGGTTTGAATATCACTCAGGGTATTTTTATATCTTTCATTTTGTGTTTCAGCCCTTAGTATGTATGTGATTTCCTATAGCATGTGATGGAAAGTAAATATTTAACTACTTAACATTTCTGCTCAAACAAGTAAGCTTGTCATCATATAATGCTTTAGAGATTTACAGCCCACCCTGAAACAGAGTTGGCAAATTATACCCGCTGCCTATTTTTGTAAATAAAGTTTTACTGCAGCATGCTCATGCTCATTCATTTACAGATTGTCTATAGCTATGAATGCACTGGAGCAGAAGAGCTAAGTAGCTGTGATAGAGATCATATAACCTGCAAAACCTAAAATATTCACTGTCTGGCCCTTTATATGAAGAGTTTGCTGACCCCTGGTTTAAAAACATTTCTGCTCTACCCAACATGAAACTCTAAACCGAAACTCTTCTTTAAACAATTTAAAAGGGTTTCACTCTGCCAAAATAAACTGAGAATTTAGTCTGGGCCTAATTGAAAGTTAACTAAGTTTAGACATAAGCAGGAATTTGGGGGCTGGAGGGTTTCACAGTCTTTAGTACTTTTCTGAAAACAAGCAGGGATTACAGCACAGCAAGAGCTCTGGAATCTACCTAATTAAAATTATATAAATTTTATTCTACAGCAAGGGTGAAAAGGACTAAAACACAGCCAACCGGTTATCATGGCTGATCAAGATAGAGGTAGAAATAGACTCAGTAAGGGAATACAACCTCTTGTCTAGGGGCTGACCCTGGTAAAGAAAGAAAGAGTTTCAGGATGAAGGGTGGGCAATAGGTCAGTGAATTCCAGGTAGTAGGCCACATCCATAATTGCGGCACGCTCCTCAGTAAGCAGAGTGATAAATGTGTACAAATAGAACAGAGAACAGAAAGAATCTTAACCAAGAGGTTGAAGGAAATAAGCCAACTAATAATAATGGTTCTTTCTTGGTATTGGGGTTTATTGTTAATATTATGCTTCTTTATAATATTCTGTATTGTCAAGAGCGTCTCAAGAACTGAAGGAAATTCAGATGAAATAAAACTGGGCAGGAAGGAAAAGGAAAAGGGGAGAGGAAAAAAGGGAAAAAAGGAGAAAAAGAAGATAGAAAAGTAAGTAGTGGCCTGGTTATTTTGAAAGAAATCAAGGCTGGGTGCGGTGGCTCATGCCTGTAATCCCAGCACTTTGGGAGGTTGAGGCAGGTGGATCACCTGAGGTCAGGAATTCAAGACCAGCCTGACCAACATGGTGAAACCCCGTCTGTACTAAAAATACAAAAATTAGCCAGGTGTGGTGGCGTACACCAGATACTCAGGAGGCTGAGGCAGGAGAATCACTTGAACCCGGGAGACAGAGGTTGCAGTGAGCCGAGATCGTGCCACTGCACCCCAGCCTGGGTGACAGAGCGATACTCTGTCTCGGGGGGAAAAAGAATGAAATCAAGACAGTTTACACACAGAAGGTGAAAAATGAATAATCTTAAATTCATCAAAATGCTTAATTTAAAACATACTATTACATTACTTTTCAGATTTTTTTCTGGCTCCTTTTTCTTTTTCAATGTAGCGGTAGTTAAAAACAGCACAAAAAAGTACTCTGGAAACACTCTATTAATGAACAGATTTGTTCTGGAAACCTTAGTTCATCTTGTTTTGGTTGAAATGGATGAAAAGCAATGAAAAAATCCAAGAATGAGTTCAAAACTACAGACTCTAACAGAAAAACAAAAAGATACTAGAATGCAGGAACAATGTATATAAGCCTTTAAACTCCTCTGAAGTAAAATACAGGAGTTCTGGGTTAGCTAAGGTCCTAACAGGAAAAGTGTATTGTCTATTTCCTTACAGAAATGTTTTCTCCTCTCATCTAAGTTTTCATTAAAACAAAACTTTGCACCGTCACCTAGCAAATCTAAACCCATGAGGAAAACAAAAACAAAAACAAAAAACAAAAAACCTCTTTTCATAATTTGTTAAGAGATTTAAAAATTTTGTTAAGTGTTCTCTTTACATATATGATAGATAATGTTCTTGCTGATCAGGGTTAGCTCTGGGTGAGGGACTATAAGCACATCATTACTATGCCATCCATAGGAACTAGCCTCTCCAAAATTTCACATCTCCCCCCATGTCACACACATGTTTCTCTGAGATCTAACACTCTGAAAGTGAAGGACTGGACATTTCTTCTGATGACATTTATCTCATGTACTTGCTGCATAACCTTCTTGGCAAATTTTATTTAATTGTTTAGAAACATGCAGAATATGCACCACATGCCAAGAGGAACTCAGCAAACCCTGTCTGGTATAGTAATGTTTAAATTAGACAAGGGAAAAAGACTGTGAACTTAATTTGATCAAATAAAGGGACTTTTGATGTCAACCATGCTGAATTTAGCACTCACTTTAAAAAAAAAAAATAGGTATTTTCTTGTAAGTGTTTTCACAAGAAACAAGATAAAATCTATCTGATTTGTCTGCATCAGCCTATTTTATTAATATGCCTTGGCAGGCTTTCAGTTATGCTGGTAAATTCTGATAATGAGTCTGTTATCAGAGAACTACACTATATCAACTGGGTTATCAGTAAAATTAACCTAAATACCCATTCTATTATTTTTCTTGCTGAGTCCACTTAAAGAGAAACTTACAAAAAACCAAAAGCCATATCCAACTGGATCCAGACTGAAGAGGTTGAAAAAAAGAACTTCCACTGGGTGCGGTGGTTCACGCCTATAATCCCAGCACTTTGGGAAGTCCAGGTGGGTGGACCACAAGGTCAGGAGTTCAAGACCAGCCTGGCCGACATGGTGAAACCCCATCTCCACTAAAAACACAAAAATTATCTGGGCGTGGTGGTGTGTGCCTGTAATCCCAGCTACTCCTGAGGCTGAAGCAGGAGAATTGCTTGAACACGAAAGGCAGAGGTTTCAGTGAGCTGAGACTGTGCTACTGCACTCCAGCCTGGTGGCAGAGCAAGACTGTCTAAACAACAACAACAAAACAAGAACTTCACTCAAAGTATACAAAGAGAAATGCTCTAACGCACGGGAATAGAGTCATAGAACATACAAACATTTTTGTTTTCTAAATGCTTAAATTTACAGAAGAAAAAAGAAAAAGTAGTTTTTCATTTTGTAACTTTTCTTAATTTTGCATTTTCTTCTCAGAGTATATGTAAAGGGATCACATTATTTACACTTACCCTAATGAGCTATCTTTCCTAGACAGACAAAAAATTATGAAATAAAAGAATTACTTGACAAAAATCACAGACAACTTATTTTCTACTTGCGTCTCAAAAGCAGGTCTGGACTATATAAACCTAAGTTTTTCCTTCTCTTCTCTCCTTCCTTCCTTCCTTCCTTCCTCTCCTTCCTTCCTTCCTTCCTTCCTTCCTTCCTTCCTTCCTTCCTTTCTCTTACAAGGCAGATTGATTTCTTTTGGTCTCTCCCTCCTTCCTATTACACTTTACTTTTCAAATATGCAATACAAGTACATAGTACAAAATTTAGAAAGACACATTAGGCTGTGTAGTTAACACCTTACCCCTGTACTCCCAGTCACTCAGTTCCCCTCCACAGAGCTATTCTTCCCAGTTCCTAACACAGCTTTTCAGAGATCTTCTATGCTTAGGTAAGTATATACATGTGTATGTGTGTGTGTGTTCCTCTACATAAATATGCCCTTGATACTGTTATGTACCTTTTTTTACTTATGAATTCCATATCACCTCATATAAATTTAATTCATATAAAGCTGCCTTCAAAAAGTAGTTATATAGCTCCGTAAGATTCCATTGTTCAGATGTGCCATTAATTTATTTAACCAGTTCTCAATTGAGGGACATTTGGGTGGATTCTAATCAGGTCTGAAATGACTTGCAACAAAGGATCTGCTGTCCTATAAGCTAACATAATTTTAGTTCATCTTAACCAAACGTAATAGTAGCTCCAAATTCTTTAGCTAAAATCAAAGGTTATTTTACAGTCAACAAAACAAAATCATTTTTATCAAGAAAGAATTCTATGCCATATTTGCCTTTATAATAAAGGTGAAAATACAAAGAAAAAGATAAACAAATTTCAACTGCTAATACCCAATTGCTGTTAATGCAACAACAACTACCAACTGGCAATTATGAACTTACTCTCTTATCTCTGGCTGCCTTTAAATTATGTCCCACAGAAAAACTTGACAAGAAAACCAGTAGTTAGGATTTGGTTTTTAAACAAAAAATAGAAAGTATTTCTTTTAAAAAGGTGACAATAATGCAACCTCACCAAAAACTAAATGCAGATAATTAAAGGAACGTCTTAAAAGGAGGCACTATGTCCTTAAAGAAATCAGCTCCTAATGATCAGATAGAAGAATGCTGTTAGTTTCAATTCCCTAGTTCTACCTTCCTCTAATTTCCCGATAATGAGTGGGCCCAGCTCTGGTTTCAGGATAAACTAAAATAGGAAATAAGACTTTTAAAAGCTAAAATAAATAACAATAAAAAAATAAATAAAACCAGTTTTGAAAGAACACTATCAGCCCAGTGCTAAAGCTGGACTCCTGTAGTTAGTATCCAACAACTGGCTATCAGATCAGCTGCAACAATGCCACTGTGGCCCTGGAGCTGCACCTTAGTTCTCCCTCCTGTTTCTAGTTCAGAGCCGGACTAGAGCCCAACCCCGAAACTCCAGTGAGGGAATTTGGCCTTACCAGTTGATTACCCCATTTTGCAATCCCCATTAGAATAACAGATTCAATCAAGAATCATCAATGAATGCTAAAGCCATTGGTGAAAGCTGCTGCAGGAAAGGATATTTATCCAGGGGCAAAATGTCACCCTAAAGATTATTCACAAACTGCAAAGAAAAGATCTGGTGGTTACCATTTTAACAAAACCATCAAACTTGGCATATGAATAGTGCTACAACCTTCTAATGCTGACAGGCCTTTTAATATGTGGCAATATTAGGTAAACACTACCTACAAAGTATTTTTCCCCAGTGTTTCATTGCAAAAATTTTCAAACATACAGTAGTGAAATAATTTTTTAAGTGAAAACCATACTCATACCACATATTTTACTTTATCACATACCTATCCATTTCCCTAAATATAAATCCATTTTATTTTCTGATGCATTTCAAAATAAATTGCTGCCATTAGTACGTGCCTCCCTAAATAATCTATGAAGTAATCTTGCCTAAAATATTCAACATGAATCCTAACTTCAGATTTTAATTCTAACTTCCAGTTTACAGAAATATAGAAGATAAAGAAATGAGATATTTGATAATAAAAGTAAACAGAAAAATCCAGCATGTGGGACATTCTGTCAAATTACATGGCTTAAGAAGTTCATGTCATTAAAAAAAAAAAAGTTTGGGTTACTAGATTTAAGAGACATCCTAATTTTCCAACCTAAAAGAGATACTAAAAAAAGAGCTACAAAAGACATTCTTCTAATGGCTAGAGAAATGTGACTCAGACTGGATATAAAATGATAATATGAAATTATTATTAATTTTCATAGGTATAATAATGAGGACTGTGGTAATACAGATTATCTTTATTCTTAGGAGATGAATGCTGAATACACACATACATAAATCTTAATTTATTTCTTTTATAGGAATAAAGCAAATGTAAAATGTTAATAATTTTATATTTTTTTTTGAGACAGGGTCTCCCTTTGTCACCCAGGCTGGAGTGCAGTGGCACCATCTCCGCTCACTGCAACCTCTGCCTCCCGAGTTCAAGCAATTTCCCTGCCTCAGCCTCCCAAGTAGCTGGGACTACAGGCATACGCCACCACACCTGGCTAATTTTTGTATTTTTAGTAGAGACAGGGTTTCACGATGTTGGCCAGGCTGGTCTTGAACTCCTGGCCTCAAGTGATCTGCCCACCTGCCCGCTTCAGCCTCCCAAAGTGTTGGGATTACAGGCATGAGCCACCACACCTGGCCAAATGGTAATTATTATATCTATCTATTAATTACTATATCTAAGAAAGAGTAAACAGGTGTCTACTGTGTTAGTCTTTTGAATTTTCTGTACATCTGAAACATTTCAAAATAAAAATTGGGGGTCAGAACAGATTTTTAATATTATTGTAGAGGTTGATATGGTCTCTTGTGTTTCACCCTGCCTGGACCATTCGGATTGAGAAACTGACCTTTGGGGAAAAAAATCTTATCACATACTTAAATACAAAAATACATGTCTATGACATTCTTTATTTCTACCTCAGAGCCAATGCTATTATTATGCACTATTTTGACTAGTGATTCAGTCTGTGTGCAAAGGCTTTAAGGCTGCAGCATTACAGAATACACAACCCAATCATAAATTTACACATGAGGGCAGGCTCACTGCCACTTGCCTGCGTAAAGTATAGATTGAGATAGTCCCATAACTTCAGATTTTACTTTATAAAATCACCTGTTAAAAGTATCTTGAATAGATCTTGCCTACTTCTTCCAACTCTAGACATACATTTTTTTGTCATCTTAGTTTTCTTAAGATTTCATTCTGCTTTCCAATCTACTGCTGCTCCTGGGAGTCATCAGGGCAGCTGCATCCTAAAGTCCAAAGACACATCCATTACCCAGGTCATTAGAATTAGAAAAAAAGAAATCATTAGCAGAGATCATTGGATATGGTACAGCATGAATTAAATAAAAATATTAAATTTACATTACTAATTCAAACAAGATTTGCCAAAAAAAAAAAAAAAAAAAAAAAAGATACGGAATCTTACATAGTTATGTAGTTGAAGAAAACAAAATCAGCCACGGAACATTCATGGCGTTCTTTCAAACTATGGCTAGAAATATCATATAACCTGAAAGCAAAGAGGTGTCTTAGGGGAAGAAATGAATACAACTAGATAATATTAGACAATAAAATAAAATTTATTACAATCAGGGTTTAGCTTTTGCCGTTAAGAGTGTTTTTCTGCATAAAGCAACCATAGTAAAGTATGAAACTATCTTACTGAACAAGTTAGCACATGGAGTCATTAAAGTAATTCATTATATCTGTCTTGTTTCAGATGCAATAAATAAAAGAAAATGCTATTTACCAGGGTTTGTCTTCTCAAGTTGATACCATCGGTAAAATGCTCTTTTCTTCTGTTCACTCAGATCTGATCCCTGCTGCAACAGCCAATGAGAGATCCGGCTCTGACTGATACCTATGTAGAAAGAGAAATAAGTTTTGGGGGGCACAGAAATTACAGTGAAATTAATAAAGGTTCCTTTGGTTCTAGGTTACTGGGTGCTTTATTCTCTGTGTCCAGTCCATAAGGAAGTTGCAACCTGAGCAAACTATTATTGGATTTTGTAATAAGACTGTAAAGACTGAGCTGGCTAGGATATACTCAGAAATTATCTCTTAGATGTCAAGGCAGTTTATTAATTAAGACCCGACAATGGCCTCTAAAATTAATCTCCAAAAAAGGTCCATGAATCTGAGATAAAGATTCCTAAAGTAAGAGTTATTTGTCAGAGTTTATTATATTTGTGCTCCTTCAACTACCACTGCTCTCCATTCCACCCCTAATTTAGAATAATAAAACTTTTAACAGATATTGAGCAAAAAAGTCAAGTCAGCAAGTTTTGTTACTCATTACAGATATTGACCAAAAGATTTAGGGGCTAGGAAACAAAAGGTCATTGAAAATACTGTCTTAGTAAGGTTTTTTTTTTGGCTTATTTGTTAATTCATTTAGCCATTTTTAGAGTCATTACCATTAGTACAGAGAAGAATTAGCAGACTTTTAGAGTTATGTATGCTACAATATGACCTCTTAAGAAATCTCAACAGCTAAAGACATTTTTCCAACACATGCTTTCCACAAAACTGAACAGAATATAAAGCAGCAGTTTTCTGCTATCTCCAAGAAGCTCTTGACAGCAATTACTTAGAAATGTAAAGAATCTCTACATATGAAAGTAAAAAAGCATGCCTAAACCTTACTAGTATGAGAATCACATGTTCATTTGATCATTCATAGCTATTCCAAAAAGTGAGTAATTCAGTACAAACTGGCAAAAGCAAGTAACAATGGGAAAGACAAAACTGTCTTGTAAGTTCACAAGGCACTTTCCAAAAGACCATTCAGCTACCAGAGAAGGTTACTAATACCTAAAACCTCCCAAGGAATTACTGAGGGTAACCTAATATTACTAAATACCACCTGTGTTGACACCTGTTTAAAGCTATACTGCCCAACAGGAAGAGCAGCTATCATGAAGCAATCATACCCTCTAACATCAGAAAAAGGAGGAGGTCCCGAGGATCACATTTAACTCATTAAAAGCAAGCCCCTAGAGTTTCACACACTTAAAAACCTATGTCAAAAGAAAATTTGAGGAAATGGGAGAGGGGAGTGTTAAAAAGAAAGACTGTGAAGCAAAGTTCTCCAACTGGAAACATCTTTCGTTTTTCTTTTTCTTTTTTGAGACTGTCTCCCAGGCTGGAGTGCAGTGGCGCAATCATGGCTCACCACACCCCCTCACCTCGGCTTCCCAAAGTGCTAGGATTAAAGGCATGAGCCACTGTACCAGGCCCCACCACATCCAGCTAATTTCTTATTTTTTCTGTAGAGACGGCGTCTCACAATGTTGCCCAGCCTGCTCTCGAACCCCTGGGCTCAAGTGGTCCTCCTGCCTTGGCCTCCCAAAGTGCTGGGATTATAGGCACAAGCCACCATGCCCCTCCTGGAAAAATCTTTCAATTTCAAAAGGCAAAATTCAAACAGCTTTCCAAAACCTAAGTGATTATATTCTCAAATAATTCACACAGCAGTTTTCCAGTGGACTAAACATTTATGTGATGGACGCACTGTATGCCTTTTCTAAGAAAATGCAAATTATTCTGGATAATTAATTCGGCTTTCACCAAAAGTCTAGTTTCAGACATTATGGTATCTTTTAACACTACTTTTTTTTTTTTTTCTTTTAAACAGAGTTTCACTCTGTTGACCAGGCTGGAGTGCAGTGGTGTGATCTCGGTTCACTGCAACCTTCACCTCCTAGGTTCAAGCAATTCTCTTGCCTCAGCCTCTCGAGTAGCTGAGACTTCAGGCATGTGCCACCATGCCCAGATAATTTTTGTATTTTTAGTAGAGATGGGGTTTCACTGTGTTGGCCAGGCTGGTCTTGAACTCCTGACCTCAGGTGATCCGCCCACCTCAGCCTCTCAAAGTGCCCAGATTATGGGCATGAGTCACTGCACCCAGCCTATACTGCTTTTCTAAAGGGTGAAGAAAACAACCATCATGAAATCAACATTGATTTTCATGTTAGCAAAATAAAATTATTTTACATGAATTTTTCATGTTGCTATCATACTACTCAAAACAGAAAACTTCAGAAAAATTGGTTAGGAAAAAATATATTATCAGCTCTGTTAATTGGTTCCAATATGAAATCTTCCTTAGTCAGATAATACATAGAACAAGCCTCAGAACTCGCTAGACAACAGTGCTGTCCAGGTTCTGACTTTGCTATAGTGAGAGAAGAGGACAAAATCTCATCAAACGGACGTTAGTTAAGTTAGAGTATATTATATAACAAAACACTTGAAGGTTTTAAAATTAATGCTTTTAAAAAGCCATAAAAAACCCCAGAAAACTACAACAAAAAAGCAGAACCAACCAAACAAAAAGCCATCAATACCAAATGTTGGCAAGGTTATAGAGCATATAAGATTCTCACACTGTTGATGGAAGGGTAAAATGGCAGGGCCACTTTGGGAAATAGTTGGATGATAACTGCTAGAGCTGAACGTATACGTACTCTATGACCTAGCAATTTTTTTCCTAGGCCTATATCCCACAGAAATGTGCACCTGCTCAATAGAAGTATGTTCAGAAGAGACAAGAAGGCTCTTATAAACATTTCCATAATAGACCCCAATGTGAAACAACTAAATGCCCATCAAGAATAGAATGCATCAGCCAGGCGCAGTGGCTCACACCTGTAATCCCAGCACTTTGGGAGGCAGAGGCGGGTGGATTGTCTGAGGTCAGGAGTTCGAGAACAGCCTGACCAATATGGTGAAACCCCATCTCTACTAAAAATACAAAAATTAGCCAGGCATGGTGGTGTGTGCCTGTAGTCCCAGCTACTCGGGAGGTTAAGGCAGAACTGCTTGAACCCAGGAGGTGGAGGTTGTAGTGAGCCAAGATTGTGCCACTGCCCTCCAGCCTGGGTGACAGAATGCCACTCCGTCTCAAAAAAAAAAAAAAAAAAAAAAAAAAAAAAAAGAATGCATCAACTGTAATAGCTACACATTCTATTACAGGTTACTATACTAAATAGAAAAAGATAAACTACCGCTATATGAAACCACATGGATAAACATCACAAAAATAATGTTAACTGAAAAATCTTGTAACACAGACACACATACACAAAAGCCATACATAACTATATATGATTCATTTTATATAAAGTTATAAAACAGACACGACTAATCTATAGGGATGGAAATCAGAATAGTAGTTACACACATGGGAGGGAGAAGGTTTCTGCCTGGGAGTTAGAATGAGGAAGGTTTATGTGGTGACCAGCATTTCTCTTTATCTCGATCTGGAGGGTGGTTATATGGGTGTCCTCACTTGACTTTTATGTGTCCATTAAGTTGGACAGTTTTCTGTGTATATATTTAAATTTTAAAAAGTCTCCCCAAAAATGTTTTTAAAATTCTATGTAGTTTCAAAAAAATGAAGTAAATGGATATGTATCAATATGGAAAGATGCCCATGAAATAAATGAAAAGGTATATATTTTTATGAATATACAATTTTACATATTCTAAATTCTGTCTGTATAGTAACAAAAGCTAATATATAACTAAAGATATACAATATGAATTTAAAGTGGCAGATTCTTCCTACATTTCTATCTCTATATTGTTTTCTTAATCTTTCTATAAATACGCATTAATTATTTTTGGCTTTTCACCCTTCACCCTAAATACTACATACAGAACTTTATTGGTTATTTTAACAACCAAATAGTTGCAAAGAATTTCTGTCCTCCCCCTCCAATTCTACTTTCTGAAGTAAGCAAGGTTAGCTATTTACACATATGTTGTTTCACAATTTTCTCTATATGTAATTACTACTTTAATAAAACAAAGGGAGAAGAGAAATATAGAATATTCTCCTGTCTTTTGTGTGAGGAAGAAATAAACAAGAATTTCTTCCCTCTAAATTTAATCTCAGTATTCACATAATAAACGTAGAAAATAAGTAAAGCAGGCCGGGCGCGGTGGCTCAAGCCTGTAATCCCAGCACTTTGGGAGGCCGAGACGGGCGGATCACGAGGTCAGGAGATCGAGACCATCCTGGCTAATATGGTGAAACCCCGTCTCTACTAAAAAATACAAAAAACTAGCCGGGCGAGGTGGCGGGCGCCTGTAGTCCCAGCTACTCGGGAGGCTGAGGCAGGAGAATGGCGTAAACCCGGGAGGCGGAGCTTGCAGTGAGCTGAGATCCGGCCACTGCACTCCAGCCTGGGCGACAAAGTGAGACTCCGTCTCAAAAAAAAAAAAAAAGAAAGAAAATAAGTAAAGCAGGTAGTTTTTCCAAAAGAGGCACTGTAAAAAAAAAAATAAAAGCATAAAAGGACACATTTTACAGTGATTTTTCTTAGCAGCCTGTTAACAGATGGGTAAGGCTCCACGAACTCATGCTTCGAGCTGCTTTGGTCCTTCAGCTGAGCACAGTCTCATAAGCCCTGGCAGTCTCTTGATACTATCAGCTTTGATACTTTTCCTCAGGAGAAAATTTCCCTAACTTTCCACCTACTTCCCACTGCAGAAGAAAATGTCACTGCCCACAAGTTTTAGTTCCTCAAAACCTCATCTTGTCTACTTCTGACAGGGCAGAGGAAAAGAAAACATTTACATATAAGCTTCACACATTGAGAGACTAAAACTAAGCCCTGATTAATTTCTTTCCAATAAGAAAGTTATCACATGGTATTCAAAGGAAGAAAAGCCTTTCCAGCCTCATTCACATTATTTTCTGAGCAGCTGCATCAGGCTATGTGTTCCTCAAACACCACACTCCCCCCTTCCACTAGAGGGCTCTCCACCATAATCCATTCTTGTCAGAATCTCCAGTATCACTAATTTATGTTTAATTTTCCTTCCACTTCCTGCGGAGTGACACTACTGACT